AAGATTTTTTATTAAATTTTTCATTGTTATGGCATAGTTTTTACCATTAAATAAATTAGTATCATTAATATTCAATAATAGAGATTATGCCATATCACTTGAGATGAAAATTTTGATAAGTATAATATTACCATTTCCATATAACAAATTAGATAAGAATAATAATATAATTGCAACTTTTAAGGGAAACAATAGAAAATAGGAAAAATTTCAACTACACTATTTTTAGTTTATCACATTTTCAAGGATTCCCCTTTTATTATCTAAAATATTATTGACACCCCTTCTAGTTTATATTTAAACATCATTGACCATTTCTAACAAAAAAAAATACAAAAATTACCCTACATAAACTCCAAACAATCTTTCTACATAAAATTCGATTAAAATTCGAGCCGGTTAAAATTAATTTTTCTAAATATTAAAATTTTAATTGATTAAAATTTATTTTTCTACATATTAAAATTTGAGCTGATTAAAATTCAATTCGAGTTGATTAAATTTTTTTTGAAGTATTAAAATTCTAGCTTATTAAAAAAAATTTGCGTATTAAAATTCGAGCTGATTTGAGCTCTATATGAATTGTTAGCACCAATTTAAATTTGCTTCGAGTCAATTAAAAATTATATTTTTTTTATTAAAATTCATGCCAATTAAAATTTGATTCAAGTTGATTAAAATTTATTTTTTTCGCATTAAAATTTGAATCAATTAAAATTTATATTTTTTTATATATCCAACTTCAAATCAATTAAAATTCAATTGTAAGTTAATTAAAATTTAATTCAAACTGATTAAAAATAAATTTTAATCAGCTCGAATAGAATTTTAATCTGTTCAAATTTTAATATATAAAAAATATAATTTTTAATTGACTCAAATTTTAATATGTAAAAAATAAATTTTAATTAAATCGAATCGAGTTTTAAACGGCCTAAATTTTAATATGCAAAATAATTTAAAAAATAAAATGGGTCTTATTGATGATATGCCTATATAGAGGGGATATTTAGAAAGTTTTTCCTAAAATATATCGTGAACAATTTAATAAAATTCTATTATAGTTAATATTTTTAAAATGATAAGGGTACCTTTGAAGATATGATAAACTAAAAAGAGTGTGACTTAAATTTTCCCGCAGTTTTAAATATACATCTATGACTCCCAAATTTTACCCTAATTTCTCATATTTTCTTGATCTAACATGACCTTTCCGACATATCATATTTCAAGCCAAATCTTTTCTATGAAGTGTTCATTCAGAAATCGAGAGCAAATTTATACACTTCTAAGACTTAGATGTGCAACTCGAATCACTTGTAAGATGAAAAATATGAGGCACAACAGCCGTAGTTGGCTTTTTGCTCCAGCAGTTACTGCAACTCGAAGTTCGATCGATGGTCCGATGGAGAGAGGGCGAGAGTTTGTGTGTGTGTGTGTGAGAGAGAGAGAGAGAGGGGCTCGACAGAGAGAGGAGGCGCAGGGAGAGGTAAAACTAAAAGTTAAAACACCGAAACACATTTATATACTAGTTATTACCTGTGCCTGAAGGCACAAAGTAATAAAAAATAAAAAATAATAAATATATTTATATTTATATCCAAAATTAAATCGCAAACATAAAAAAGAGATAAAAGAATTTAAACATCGGTTTTTAGTGTGGGTGAGAGATAGTGGACGGTAGTGGTGGTGGTAGAAGACAATAATAGTTGTGGTGGTGGTGGTGGTGGTGGTGGTGGGTGGTGATGGCGGTGACGGCGATGACGGTGGTGGTGGTGGTGGTGGTGGTGGCGATAGTGGAGGTGGAGGTGACGGTGGCGCGGTGGTGGCAACGATGGCGGTGTTAGTGACAGTGGTGGAGGTGGGGGCGGTGACAGCGGTGGGGGTGGTGGCGATGGTGGTGATGACGGTGGCGACAATGACGTTGGTGGTGGCGGCGACGGTGGTGGTGGTGGCAGTGACGATGGTGATGGAGGTGGAGGGGGAGGTGGAGGTGGCGGTGGCGATGGTAGAGACAGTGATGGAACGATTCAAAATAATATATATATATTTTTTAAAGTGCTTATGAGAAATAATTTATATAAACACTTTTAAAAAATTATTCTAAACACAACCTTAGGGGCCTATTTTTTTCTATTAAATTTGAAGTTTTAATATTAGTCGTTAGATTAACTTTAAAGTAAAATTTAAAGTGATCTCAACCGCGAATAGCAAAAGTCATTTTGTGTATATTTTGAGATTTGAATTGTAAACTACTTTATTATATAGATGTTCATAAAACGACATGGTTTTATATCAAAGATATTATTTTTTAAAAAAATATAAATATATTTGCAGATCTAGTACGAATGTAGAATTTTTACGGGTATTCTGCATTCTTACCCGTGATTTTGTGAAATACAAAATTTTTTTCCAATGGCCTGCTAAAATTTTGTAGAATTGTAATAATCAGTTAGGGTTAGGTAGGAAGGATGCGGAATGGGTTGGGTTGACGGAATTTTAAATAGCTCTACTTATCCACTTATTTATTTATTATTGAGCGGCTACACTGCATGACAATGCTGACGTATTATAACCGTCAAATCCAAAATTTACTCCGTATTATAACAATATTTGATTTGAGGGATTTAAGTGGTGAACATCTTCCTCTCTCCTTTAGGATAATTCGAAACTTGAACTAATAAATTATTGGCATTTAATTTTTAAAATCCTAGAGGTCATTTGATAATTTTTTTTTAAAGTGTTTTAAGTACTTTTTAAGTACAGTTTCAGTATGAAATTTTTCCCTTTTCATTTCTTCCTTATTGAAAGTTATTCCTTTCTGTAAGTTTAATTGTATGTATAATAGTGTACCTATGTACATGTATAAGTATGTTTTTTTTTTTGGCTAAAGATTGATAGCCTAAATATGCTTCTTTTAACCAAACAACGTTGAAAAAATGATCAGACATGTTCCCAATTTGTGCATGTACAACCAGTTTTCTCAAACAAAAGAGAGTTTGGCTTAAAACAACACAGTTTTATAAACCTATCATATAATACTACTAGTTATTACTTTTGTCTGAAGACACAGAGTAATAAAAAATGATAAACAATAAACATATTTATATTCATATCTAAAATTAAATCACAAACATAGAAGAGAGATAAAGGAATTTAAGCATCGGTTGCAGTGGAGGTGAGAGATGGTGGGCAACAGTGGTAGTGGTAAGAGACGGTGATAGTTGTGGTGAGTGACAATGACCGTGGTGGCGATGGGCGATTGTGGTGGCAGCGACAGCAACGGTGGCGACGACGGTGATGGTAGTGGTGGCGACGATGGCGACGACGGCGATGGGGTGGCGGCGGCGACGATGGTGCTAGTGGTAGCAACGATGGCAACAGCTGCGACGGTGACGATGGTGGCAACGACAATGGTGGTGGGGAGGGTGGTGGTGGCGACAGTAGTGGGGGGTTAGTGGTGGTAGAGATAATGGTGGGGCGGTTTCAAACACTATTTTTTTTTTTAAATTATTTATGAGAAATAATTCCTAAAAGTATTTTTAAAAAGTCACTTCAAACACACCCTTAATAGTCTATTTTTTCTATTTAATTTAAGGTACTCCTATTAGCCGTTAGATTAACTTTAACGTAAAATTTAAAGTGATCTCAACCGCAAATAACAAAAGTCATTTTGTTTATCTTTTGAAATTTAAATTGTAAGTTACTTTATTATATAGATGTTCTGAATGTTGTGAAATCAAAGGATGACAATAAAATGAAATTAATAAAAAGAACGATAAGAATGTAATTCAAACAATCACACAACACAAAATTTACGTGGTTCGATAATTTTTCTACATCCACGAAACTGCAGAGATTTCACTATTTTAAACAAAGAATGCAGAGAGGGTGACGGCCGTACAGAATCAATCCAAAACCCTATTTATCGAATAACAGTTTTTATATGTTCTGTGTACAGAGCTACAAAACGGACCCAAAATTTTTTTTCACTAGACGCCACAAAAGAAACTGAACACAGAATAATTCCCAATTTAACAGAGGATTCTTGAGTCAAGACAAGAAAAAAACGTTGGTGATGTTTAGGGCCTCATGGATGTTACAACAATGAGTTGTAAGTTCGATTCACTGACCATATAAAAAAGCATGACTAATCGATGCTCGCGGTTAGTGGGTTATTGCATGCATATGAGATTTGAATTGGAGTAATGAATTTAAAGTACATGTGCATGGTTTCGACGTAAAGAATCCTTTAGGGAAAAGAATGCACAATGAGTTGTAAAGCAAGGTTGAGAGAGAATGAGCATTGCTTTCTCTTGGTAAAGTATTTGACAAGTAGGCCTACAATCTTTGCAAGTTGGAAAGCCAGGTGACTTGCTGTCCATCCATAGTGCACAACTTGCAGATATGCATGAGAAAAAAGGCAAAGAAATACAAGACATCAATTTTTTTTTTAAACAGAAAAAAAAAAGGATGAGTGATAACTAGGTAGTAATTCCTTTAGGCGTGACCATGAGGGCGTTCAACAACCGTGGAATGTCTGAATCATAGTTGCTAACGGCAGTTCATCACCACAACACTACCAAAGTCAATCATCAAATTGAGTTACTTCTATGGATCGAATCCTACTTAATAATCATATGAAAGTCAAGGATAACCCTAAATGAGTACAACTTACTAGTATTTACGAGCCCAGTGGTAAGACATCACCTTCACATGGTATGAAAATTTCTTGTGAGTTGGGGTCAGACAAGGCCATGGTTGGCTTTGAACAGTTTAATGCTTCTCCATTTCTTTCCCTGTTAGCTCCTTTGGGGGAAAGTTTAGGAAAAAAAATGTGCTTAACCATTTATTAAAGCCAACCCCTATCCAAATAGCTTCTTTGAAATCTCTTTCAGTAAGGCTTAAAACTGAGTATAGGCCATTAGGGGCATATTACTAACATTTAAGAACATTCAGCTGTGAGATTTTTAATAAGTTTAAAAACCTTCCTCTATCACATGGCTACTATGCCCTCTAAACCGATTGAGGGAAGTCACATCCGTCCCATCGCAAGCATTCACAATGTAATGATTACGTCGATTTATCTTTTTTTTTGGTAGTTTAATGGAGCGTTGCCTAAACGAATCTGACAATAATCTTCCTCTATCTTTCAGCTTGGAATAATTGGAAATAACTCAAAATTAATCCTTTTTTGACAAAAAATATGAAACCCAGCTATAATTTATCTTATTTTCTGGCTAATTTATTTTGTTTTGGTTAGACATAAATCATCAATCATAATCCCAATGGTAATTCAAGTGGTAATTCAGATATTTTGAGTTCGAATCTTGATAACTCTTTAAGATGAAATTAAAAAAGATTTTTCCGTCTTAAATACCCTAATCTTGATGCGAAAGACCTGCCTTTGACCGGACTAGAGAGAAAATTAGTTAAGATCCAGTTTATTCGAACACTCTTAACCGTTAATAAAAAAATAAAATAAAATACAAAAGGCAATATGAGAAAAGTTTGCCCAACTCTTGTCTGCCTCTACTCAGAAAATGAGACATGTCCCAACAACTGGTGGCCTTCCACCATCCAAGTTTAAAGTGCAGAGTTGACTGATTTTCACTTTCTTCACTGGCTAAACTAAACTTAGGACCCAAGAAATGTAGGGGGCCCCAAGCCTACCGAAAGTTAAAGCTAGCTGGCCAACTGGAAAAAGAACCTAGTTTTTTACAAATTAATGGAGATTTTCATGAAAATACACCTCATTTATTCCAATAACACTGACATTAGATAATATGTTTGAATAATATTATTTAAATATAATTTGTTATTCTAATTTATTATTATCTTTCAATGAATAGTGGCTCCAACCAATTTAGGACTGAGCTAATAGATTTGATTAACAAATTAAGTTTAAGAGCGTTGTTCTATCTTTTCTAGACTCGGAAGAATTCTTTTATTACATTTGGAAGTTTAGTAAAGTTGAGTAAATAATGAACATGTTGCACGCTTTTCAAAGTTGATTTTTTTCGTACATAAAAATCTTGTGATTTCTCTTCTTACAAGGTTGTGTTAATTTCGCTTGTAAATCTTATAAAATTCTGTTAATCAATGGAAAAATCAAGATATTATAAAATGTTAGTATGCACATTTTCATTTTTCTCAACAAGTTTTTGATAGAATAGAGAAAGGGATCTCTTCCCTCTTTCCCCTTGCCCCTGCCCTTTACCTTCTATGTAGGAAAAGATTGAGGATAGAGAATGACACTCCAATGAATTTGGTGGGTACCATATGAACATTTTTCCCCACCCATGTGGAAAAAAGTACCAGAGGAAAAAGGCATGACCAAGCTCAACTTTTTTTCTCGTTTTTTATTCAACTGTGAGGATTATTTAGGATAATTTATGCGTACTTCGACTAATTTTTTTTCTGGTTCGATCATCATCCATTCCAGAACTAGGATATTTATAAATAATAAATCACTCATAACCTAACCTTAAAAATTTATAAAAATTCAAATTTAAAACATTTATATTTATAACTCATCATTGCTATTACTCGACTCCCTCAGGGGTTAAGGTCAACTTTTGCCTATAAGAACCATCCAATTCCAAGACTTGTGTTTGCAGAAACTGCAAAGAAAACCCATTCTCTGTCTCTCTCTGTCTCTTGCTCGTCTTGGCCCGAAAATTCTCTTGATCCTCACATAATTTCCAGTCGGATGTCCAGCTTCAACTTGGCAGAGAAGTTCTTGCCTGCTAAGAAGGCGTGGAAGAGCTTCACCAACACCCTCCAATCCAAACTCCACAAGCTCAACATCTCCAAAACCATAAAAAAAACCACACACCAATTAGTTTCTCTGCGCCCCATTCGCCTCCGCCGCCTTCTTCCCCGAAAACTACGTGCCCTCGCGCAACGTTCTTCCACTTATCGCCACCATATCCACCGCTACCACGACAGCCACCAACTCCGAAACAGCTTTGCCGCCATACATGTGGACGAGCTCTTTCCAGAGCCCCCCGAAACGCATTCCAAAGAAATGGCTGCATCAAGCAACAGTGACACTAAGGCCAAAGATATGGTCAAGGTGTTTGATAAAAAGCCCCAACCAAGAACGAGAAAAGTTGGTGAGACCAGTACAAATGCTGTTGCTGATCATGATGCATGGAAGATGTCATTTTTGCGACAGTTTCGAGGGGTTGATGAGAGGGCCGAGGAATTCATTGCCAAATTCCGGGAGGAGATGACACTTCAGAGGGAGCAATCTATTCTTGATTTTCAGGACATGTTGGCTCGTAGTGCTTAGCAAGTGATATGCGTTTAGCAGAAATTTTCAAGCTAACCATCCTCAGAGTCCGTAATAGTGAGAGTCTCATGTGTTGGTTATGCCCTTTAAGAAGGAATTTGAAGACTGGGTATTTATATTGAGTGGTGTTTCTTCTTCCAATTTTTTCCAAAGGATAGTAGAAAACACAATGATTTTTTTACGTGGGTGTGATGATGTATAGGAATTGTAAGTTGTGTGGATTGTTTGTGCATTTTTAATGGGTGTGGTTATCTATTGGCATCATTTGCTGAGTGTTTATATATACATGGATTGTCAAGGTTGATCAGATGGATTTTTCATGAATAAATTAAATTTTTTCACTTTTTTTTAGTCATTGTAACTTGTAGAGTAAAACACTAATACATCGAGATGAAAATTGGTCATCCAAGTATACAGGGGTGGATTTAGTATGGGGTAGTGCGGGCAGTTGTCCCCACTGGATTTTTAAATTGTTTTAGGACCTAGATAAATTTTTGAAAATTTCAAAAATTTCTCAATCTTGCCCTCACTAAAATTTTTATAAAGTATAAGGGGGTTAGTGTAATTTTAAAATCATTAAACATAATTTTGTCTACTCACTCATTTAATTCCCTTTACTCGACGTTTTTTTCATTCAAACTTCAGTCTCTGCGACTCTACCTTTCTTCACTAGCCCTCACTACTTACCTTCCTTTGATTTCTTGGAAGAGTTGGTATATTCATCAATAAATCGACTTACTTGGTTGTTGTTATTAGGGTATATAGTAGCAATTATCTCACAAAAATCACAAGAACAAGACTTAAGAAAAACAAAATACTTGTTGATCGTTGCTGTATTGTATCACTTTAATTTCAACATAAAGTCAAGCATGGACAAGACAAAAAATCTATTGCAGTGAATCACACAAATTCCACTCCAAAAACTTGTATATTTCAATTAAAAATTCAGTACAAAAAGACTCAAATACAGGGGAACTAGATCTAAAATTTCAGCAACAAATACACACAAGTATTGTGGATTTATGGATTATATTATTGTGGATTTATGGATTATAATTTCATTATGTATAGTACATTATGTCATTCATTACAAACTATTAAATTTGAATCTAATTAGATAAATTCATTTTTTAATTAGTTATGAATAGATTCTTATAAGAAAATCAACACTAGAATAAATCGCCTCTTATTCAGAAAATAGATGATCTTTTGATGTGAAATTTTTTTTGTTGTCTTTTTTTGTACATCGCTCATATATATGAGTTGTGCATCTAAACGACATTTTTGTTTATGGAACTATAAATAAAAAAAAAGTTCATTAAGAATATACTTTTAACGAAAATAATGTTGCATTTATAGTTTAAATTTAAAAATTTTAGATTACCCCCACTAAAACAAAATTATGTCACCGCCCTAAAGGTGCAACTCGAGTGGGTTGGGCGGGTTAGATTGTTAACCTTATCCCAACCCTAGGTATATAATCTTCAACTTTAACCCTAATCCTACCTCGGGTTAAGGAACTCAACCCAAGCACTACCCGAGTTTAATTCGAGCGGGCTTGGGTTGAATTCGGGCTGATTTCGAGTTACTTTACGAGTTCAATTCAGGTTTAGTTCGGGTAAAGTCCAAACTAGGCTTCTTGTTCTAAACCTAATACATATATTATATAATATTCACATAAATTAACAACCGACAACTTCAACCAATTTTTTAACATAATAACCATTGCCGTCAGTCCACTGCGAGAGAGACAGAGAGAGGGGGGAATAATTACAAATTCATAAAACATAATCCATATATTTTGTCTTTTTTTTTCACAATTGAAAGAACAAGAGAGACAGAGAGAACGAGAGAAAGAAAGAAAACGATAGAACAAAAATGAAAAAACTAGTGCTAATGCTTTATATATAATTTTTTTTAATTTATCGGGTCGGGTTGAACCTGTGAACCCGAGCCCAACCCAAATTGAATTCAGGTTGGAATTTTTTGACCCAAACTCAATCCAAATATTAAAACCCTTCCCCAAACCCTAATTTTTTCTGGTTGGGTTCAGGTTGCACCCTTACTCCGCCCTATCAAATTGGCCTCCATCTTCTCAGAAATACCTAACTTACTTTAGTCACATTTTCAATGTTTCTAACTCACGTAGATTGAGGTGAATTACACTGGCCTTTGGGTGTGCATCGACTATCAAGCCTCTGTGTTTGATATATATTTTTGTAAATCCTTCTTTCTTTTAATCTCAATTTATATATATTTACCAAAAAAATTATATAATAAAATATAATACAATTCAAATTTCAAAAAAAAATAAAATGACTTTTATTTTTCGCGGGTGAGAACTTTTTAAATTTTAATGTAAAGTTAATCCGACGTCTAATATTAATACTTCAAATTTGATGATACCTCAAATAAGCCCTAGCTGTGAGGTCAGGTCAGGAGGTCAAGAAAGACACGAGTAACTCAGAGAACCAGGGGTGGAGTTCCCCTTGGGGAGATCATAGCTCAATCGACCAGAAAACAGCTAGATGACTACGAGAATTGGGTCACATGCGTGAAACTCTCAACCAACCAAGATTCTCTCCTAAAATTAAGGAGGATCCCATGAATAATGGGTAAAGATCTTGGCCGAAATCCTACGGAATAGGGGGCAGGCTTATAAAAACTATGCAACGCCTCATCGTGAGGCGGAGAAAAAAAATGAGAAAAACTCTAATCAGTTTAGCACTGTCTTGTGTTACATTCAACTAATCAATAGAGAAGAAAAGGAGCAAGAAAGTCCACTGAAGAGTGGACTAGCTAAGCTCCTGAGCCGGTGAACCACTATATTTTTACTGTGTACACCCTTTTAATCCCATCAATATTTTATTGTAGCATCATACACGAGCCTTGTAGCTCTGATCCACCCTCATCCACGTTGATTTACGCCATCAGTTTGGCACCGTTTGTGGGAACGACTATTCCTGTTACAAATAAACTGATCTTTCAGTGACTGATAGTGTCAACACGAAACATGAGCAGAAGCCAAACAAACCCATCTCGGATGCAGGACCAACAGGGAGCCACTAATGGCAGACAGCTCAAAAACGTCCTAGAGATTGATCCTCCCATGGGGAATCCCCCCATAAATAACGAGATGGAGTCCCTTCGCCTCGTCAATCAGCGCTTCATAAAGCAAAACGAGGAGCTCTTAAAGCTCTTGCAGTACCCATAGGAGGCACATCCGACCCAAGAAGATCAGAACAGTCCCCACTACAAGGACCAACAACACCTTGATCCACTCAGAGAAGACAACGAAGGGAGGAGAACAGCCAGACCTTGGGGCAGGTTCCCCAACAACCCCTTAGGAACGGCCACAATGAAAAAGTACAAAGTCAAAACCTTGAATGTGAAAAGAATGATGTCTTCCCTTACTAGCAGGAGAGAAGGGAGCAATATTGGGAGCAGCGCTTCAAGGGCATCCAGCAGGAGCTCAGCCACATGAAGGAAGCGGTCAGGAGTAAAGCTCCAGTTACAATGGATGCCTTGGTGCGGTAGACTGAATCTCCATTCACGCCTGGGGTGTTGCATTTTCCCCTCCCACCAAAGTTCAGGATGCCTCAGATAGAGTCCTTTGATAGAACCAAGGACCCCATGGACCGCCTCAATACTTATAAGAACCAGATGAAATTACACGGGTATCAGGATCCCGTACGTTGCCGAGCCTTTGCCATCACTTTGAAAGGTTTAGCCTTGGCGTGGTTTAACAGGCTCCCTCCAGCCTCAATCTCTTCCTTCAAAGAGCTTTCCATTTCCTTCGTGTCCCACTTCATTGGGGCTCGAACCTATAGAAAGCCGAGCTATCACCTTTTGAATGTGAAACACGGACCACAAGAAAACCTCAGGTCGTATGTCCAAAGATTTAATTCAGAGTCGTTAAAGGTGGATGCCCCAGACAAAAAGTTCGCCATCACAACCTTCATAGCTGGTCTAGCGGTGCAGTCTAAAGATTTGATGTTCCCCATATCAAAAAATCCCCAAGCAAGCAAGACCGAGGTGTTTGCCAAAGCAGAGAAATACATAAACGACGAAGAAGCTCTTCTTTCTAAGGTAGGGAGCTCTTCCGCACATAGAGATAAGGGAAAGGAAGAGAAAACGAGGAACTTAAGTCCCAGGAGAGAGAGGGAAAGAAACAGATCTCTAAAGAGAGATAAATCTCCTAGAAGAGACAAAAAGCGATCCCCAAAAAGAAGGGGGAACATTAGGGATCGCTTAGGCCCTCCGCAGCCTGAACTACAGCTAAGGTATGCACCTCAGCAATATACCCTTCTCATTGCGACAGTATCCCAGATCTTATACGAGGTGCAGAACGAGAAATTCCTAAGGTGACCTCCACGAATAAAGGCAAATCCGTCTAAAAGAGACCCTACGAAATATTGCGAGTATCATAGGGATCATGGCCATCATACCGACGAGTGCATCCAGCTAAAGAAGGAGATCGAGTTCTTGATCTAGAGGGGACAGTTACGACGATTTATCGCCCATGACAACCAGGACAGGGCTTCGCCACTACTAGCACCCCATCAACAAGCCGCTGCGCAGCACCAGCAACCCTTAGGGGAGATCAGAGTGATATCAGGAAGATTTGTTTGCGGTGGAGAATCTAGTGCAGCCAAGAAAGCACACCTGCGCAGAATCAGAGCTAGAGAAGCATTGGAAGTACACACTGTGTCCAAAATGCCTCGGCTGAGCACAACCATCACTTTCTCGAATTCAGACTTGGAAGGCTGTCAGTATCCCCATGATGACTCGTTGGTCGTAAGGGCCATTGTGGCAAACCAAATTATTCATCGAGTTCTAATTGACAATGGGAGCTCGGCCGACATCATTTTTGCCTCTGCCTTTGACAAAATGGGTGTAGGAAGGGAGAAGCTTGAGCCAGTGAATGCTCACTTGAAGGGGTTCTCAGGGGAGAGGGTACTACCCTTGGGATCCATCCAACTCGTGCTCACTATGGGGAACCCTCCTTGTCAAGCCACCACCACTGTGAAATTCCTGATAGTTGACACCCCTTCTACATATAATATACTACTTGGGAGACCGTCCCTCAATGCAATGAAGGCTATCCCCTCAGCATATCACCTGGTCGTAAAATTTTCTATAGAAAATGGAGTTGGAATGGTTTGAGGAGACCAGTGAATAGCCAGGGAGTGCTACATGGCCTCGGTGAAGCATAAAGAGGTTGAAACTATCCAACTAGATGAGCTTGACATGAGGGACGAGCTGGACACTAGGCCCATACAGTCAGAAGAGCTAGAGCCAGTCCAGCTCGATGAAGAGCCT